GAAAGCCCAGACTTGCAGAATGATAGTAAACCTGTAACTTGGAAAAGCTGGCTGATGAGGGGCATCGTGCAGATTTCCTAATTTGTCTCTTGCTAGTTTTGGGGTTTTTTACTATTTATTTGTATTATTGTTGCACATTGGAATTCTACACATGGACAAGGATCCATTGAGAGTTGCTGTACAAACACAGAATAAGAGTGTTTTTTCTTTTCTATTGCTAGAGCAGCGCTGTGAGCTGGCACCTTTAGTGGCATAGCAATCCTTTAAATTAAGATGCTCACAAATTCCAATAACAGCAATTTGTCCCAGACACCCTAAGATGGTCAAAGCTCCCAGGTCTAATGGAATCTTAGGAACACATCATAAATTCCTATGCCCACTATATAGGCATTTTTAATGAAGAATAACCCCCTTTAGTCTGGAGTTCTTTGTGGAAGCAGAGGGAGAAGGGGAATTATCAGTACTCTAAGAAGAACCTCAATGACAGAGCATACTACATTACATTTATGGTGCCTGTGTGGATCTCCGTTTGTGCTTGCTGCAACAAAAGAATCTTATTCAAAGTGTATTGGACACCAGAGGGGTTGCACAAGATAAAACCCTTACCCTCTGGCATTCGTTGGTGCCGCAATAAAGAAAATGGAGGCCCTGATACATAAGCTGAGACCATTTGACAATCTTCCTGCTCAGATTGAGGAAGGAGTTGGGCATGAGATAAAGTAGCACACTGTTTCAGCAACCAGACCTCTGCTGAAGATTTGGGCACTTAACTGTAAAGTGGGATTTAGCTCTGCAACAGGGACTTTGTGGCTCTTGAGGCTTTCTGTGATCTCCAAGAGCATTATTGTACACAGATGAAAGGAGTAGAGTTATGTCCAGATAACAAAGCAGTAGTATTTGCCTCCATCTCAGCAGCCAAAAGAAGAAATCGGTTTTGCTATATGGACCACTTACACCATTTCATCCTGTTTCTAGATGTGCTTGGATAGAAAAAAAATGTTCAAAATTATTCTTTTCATCTAACTTTACCCCTTCTGAGCCTCTGCCCCAACCTCCTCTTGTCCATGCACTTCCTGTTTTTCTGTGTAAATTTCTCCTGCTCACATGCATACATCCTAATGTCTGTCTGGTATTTGTGCAGAATTGATGAGTTGTAAAATTGCGTAACTCTGGCAATCACGTACACCCTTCAGGAAGATTAGTGAGGTGAAAGTCATGTTTCTTTCTTTATTTTGTATTGTTTGTTTCTTTACACAAATTAATTAAAAATAACAAAAAAGCCAATTGTGTTACTTAAGAGGGATTTCAAGACTGATCATGTCCCTGTGGATCTGGTCTTGTTTAGACTGTATAAAAGTAACTTCTTTTATTCTACCACTTAAGGCTTATTCTCTAATCCTTGTGTATTTTTACTGCCCTTCTGTTTATTTTTTATATCCTCTTTAAGCTGTGGGGACCAAAACTACACTTAGTTTATCTGATTCTGTTACTACAGGGTTATATAAACCAGAATTACTGCCTATCTAGTTTTATTTGTATTGTTTGTCCAGACTCAGAATAAAATCCTGCTGGGAACAGCAGCTTGAACTTGGACTCCTTCGTGAAATATACTGTCTGAGACAGGTGGAGTCTGTTGTATTTGATCAGTGTAAATATTAAGATGTATCTACTTAAAAACCTAAGCACCTTTCTGGATTTCAGGAAAGCTGTTTTGCATCATAATGGTGGAGCCATGCCTTGGCAGGACCTTCTACCATTCTCTCTTATGTCACAGACACTCCCCACAGCATTTGCTGCACTGAGGTTTTTTCTCTCTTCTGAAGTAATATAGAAAATGAGACTTTCAGGATGATTAGTGTTAAACAAAACAAACAAACCTGGGGCATACAAATCTACAGGTCCATTCCTTATTAAGTACCCATACTATACACATGCTGACCTTTGACCTTCTGATTCAAGCAGTCATTGTGGTCAAGTTTCTGCAAAATGAAAGTTTTCTTGATTCTGTTGCTTTTACCACTGTTTTTTTAAAAACTAAATATAAACATCAGAAGAGATGTGTTGCCTCCTAAAATTAGTTTACTTGTTAACTAACATCATGCAGAATTGTGCACTGCGTATTTGTGCATGATATCGGTGAGCTCTCTGGACTAGGGGAGGAAATAAGTTACTGTTTCTTACGCTGAGAGTTTAGGAACTGCTGCCTTACTGCTGCTGCTGTTTGTGGTAAAACCTGCTCTGTACTCAGAAGGCTGGTCCACATGCACCTCCTCCCTTAGTCTTAAAGTTCGTTCAAAGGAAATTACACAGAAAGACACAGGTTTGGTCAGCTTCAGCCACAGTCCAGGAGTAAAATAGCCTTCAAATTTGATCGTGTCACTCTTTTTCTTTTAATCTGTTCACAGCCAAGACAAATTGAAATTTTTTGGTATACCTTTTAAAGCTTTACCCCTTCCCAGTTATTCAACTTGGTAAACTTCTTATTGCCCCATCACTCCTTTTCTGCTCATGTTTTTCAGCTTTGTTCACCTCTTTGTCAACTTCTCCCACAATCACCTTCATCCCTTGGATGTGACGCTCTGTGCATGGTACAGGCTCCCTGACCACTTTTGCAAGACCTCTCTCTGCTTCTCTGCATTTAAACTCCTATTAAATACCTGCTTTCCAGCTCTAGACATCTACTAGTTGTTTAGGGGAAAGGCTGAGAAGAGATTTGGCATGCATGGGAGGTAGTGGGGCTGTTTAAGGGAAGGAGTCCACTGTCTCTGTTAATGAATAATATTGTTTCAGCTTTTGTACATGCTGGAGAGTTGTATTTTTTTAAAGTTGGAATATAAACTGTAATCACAGCTCACACTCTTCTCTGCATGTCTTCTCTGTTTCTGTGATCTATTGTACAGCAACAGCCCTTGTCTGCTGTTAAGCCCTCCGGGATTCATCAGCAGCCTGGGAATGATTCTTCTCCATCAGCTTTTTTAAATACATGGTGTACATAGAAGGCAGAACTTGCCAGACCAGATAAGAGTTGTGAACTGTAACCTGCACCAGAGACTGCAGAGTGAGATGCAGGCACCCTTGCTGTGGGCTATTAGGGCTTAATCTGCCTCCAAGGACAGCAGCTTTCTAACTCCCACTATTCAGGGGTTCATAGATATGCCAAATCCAGGCCATGTTCACCCCTCACAAAGTTATACTTTTCAACTAAATTTGAGCTGATTGATTGTCTGATATCCTTGTTAGTCATATACGTGTCTAATCTAGTACTGTATGGGGCAGGGTCTGTTGTTTTTCTGAATCCATGTACTGTGCTTAGCACAAAGAGGTCCCAGCATGCAGTAGATATGTTGCTACAGTAGACATGTGACTAATAATTAAGCTCTTGACTCTGTTACATATTATGGCAGTGTGTTCCATGGGTTAATTGGGCATTGTATGGAAAAGTGTTTCCTTTTCATTGGTTTAAAATCAGTTTCCTTTGCAGCGACATGGATGGCCCAGCCTTTGGGACTGAACAGTAATCATTTTGCTATCATATCTAATTGTTTCGCCTCCTGGTCTGATCTGACCATCTGACTTGCCCAGGGAAATGGCTTATTTACCTCTAAGGGAATAGGGCATTCCTAATAGTACTCAGTAGTCTTCTGGTTAATGTCTAGAGCCTAGCAAAATGGCCTTGTGTGTATGGATTAGTAATCAGCAGGCGAGATGGAGTTTGGGCATACCAACATGCCAAGGAGAAAAGAAGGGTTCTTGAGACTAAAGCCTTTAAGGTGCCCATCTTACAACATTGGTGAAATAGAGGAGTCTCCCATACTCTTTCCATGAGTTTGCTGCCTGAGAATGCAGAAGGAAGTGCCCATCCTAGGACAGTTTATTCAGTTATAGTACAGCACAAGTACATTTTCTGTTTGGTTGCTATTTGGGTACAGAATAATTAAAGTTACTCCCCATCCCGGGGAAGTTAGAATCATAGAAAATTAGGGTTGGAAGGGACTTCAGGAGGTCATTTAGTCCAACCCCCTGCTCAATGCAGGCTGGTCAGCTCAAAGGGCAGAGTGGCTGTGCCTGGCTGAATCAGCACCTTTTGGAGCTCCAGGGTGTTTCAGCAGAGCAGCCTTCCTTCCACCACTGATGCAGATCTGCAGTGGAAGCTCTGCCTCTAGAGGCTGCCCAGCAGGTGCAGTAAATAACCCTGGTATTTCTGTCCTACTACAAGTGCCCCCATCTGTGCTCTAGTGACTGCGTCCAGTACTCTCACAGGCAAGCTGCCTGCCACCCGTTCCATATGTGCGGAAGTTTCTTCTGTTTAAATTAGCTTCACAGAGCAACATTTTTATCATCTGCATGACACCTGGATAGGTAGTTGGGTGAGGCAAGGGGTGTCACCAGTCCTGGGTTGATCATTCATGCTTCTGTACGTACATTATGATCTAATTCTTTCCTATGCTTTCACGGTCTCTGTATAGTTTGTCATACCAATGAAGCCTGACTGAATTTAATTATATGTAGCCAAAACAAAGGGGGGGCAAAGACTTATAGTTCATTTTATTGATCATGTTAAAGATAGCAGAAGTATTATTAGACAGAAGATGAGAACTCCCATTGGCATTACTGTAGTGTTTCTCAACTCACACCACATTTTTCCTCCCTTTTTTTGTATTTTCTCTCTGCATCCAGACAGATCTTTAGCATTTGTCCTCTTGTTTCTTTAGCATTTGTCATTCTCAGCTCATCCTACTCTGTCTCATGCTGTTCTGCGCAGAAATGCAACTGTACCATACAGCCTCAATAGCTGTCCAGTCAGTGCAAATTACGTGTTTTCAATGCCTTATTCTGCCCTCATAAAGTGGTTACTGTAATGTAATCATTACTTTGTTTCTGGAGAGTGAAAGTGCTCTTGCTAAGCAAATATTTACAAACACTGTTGAGAGTTGACTTTAGGAAAGGGAGAATGGAGCACCTTTTATAACAATGTTTCTCTCTTATTTATTTTAAAACAGAAAGTTTTGTGGGGGAGAGAAGTCTCCAGCAAGCAGCTCCCATTCTGCAGTGTCACTGGAGGTGAGTGTAAGGTCTTTGGATTTGCGTTGTGCACACACCTCCACATCTGAGTGAGGGGGAAAAGAATATGTCCCTCAGTTCCATTTCTTCAATGTTCTCGCCTCAAAGTAAGAGGCAGGGGACCAAGTTAGGGAAGGAGGTTGGACTTGAATTGATCCAATAAAGTTTCTCTTATTTAACATCTCTTTTTAGTTGCATAGAATGATTTGGAAAGGACACAGTGTTATATTGTTGCCCTCAGTAGCAGAGCTGTCAGTGTGCCTGAGAGTGGAAGTTAAATTGCATAAGTAGGGAATTTCTGGTGCCCTTCCTAAGGGAGATGGGGAGGTGGGCATTGGGCACCAAACAGGAAGGTTGTGTACTCTTTGCTAAATATTTGTTTTGGTTTGGGTTGGGTTTTTTTTTTTAATTCCTGAATAGAGTTATGACCTGCATGCCTTCTGGGCAACACTTTGGGCAGTTGTTCAGCGTCCATTAATTCAGACTTGAACTGGATAGAAAAAAAACTGGAAGAATGTGGACTAAACATGTTCTTAGAAGTTTAAGTGCCCTTGACACGTGCATGTTTTCAGATAAAACTTTGAAAATGACAGTCCTATTTTAGTGTCAGAAGTTCCTACATGCCGTGCTGTAGTAGGGAGGCAATACAGTTATGTCACATCCCAGTTGAAAGGTTCCTAGATTCTTTGCTTGGCTACAGGAGAGGTGATTTGCCCTTGTGTCTGTGCTGGAGATGCCTGGATGAAGAGCCTTTTCATCAGAGGACCTAATGAGCATTCTCAGCTCTAAGGGTCTCTCAGATTGCTTCATATAAGTAGATTTCTACAGTTTCAGCTGCACTGAAAATTACAAAGAAACAAAGTGAGCATAGACCAGTAGTGCTGTTCTTATCCAGTATATGCCATTAGATTGGTCTGAAAAAGTAAGAAGAGAAAAATGAGTAGGTTGTCAGGCAGCTAGTACTTCTGAGTTCCAGTGTACAAAAAGTGGGGTGGTTGAGGAAAGCATTTTAATCTCTGCGGAAGGCAGCATCAAACTAACCTCCTCCTTTAATTCCACAAAGGGCTGCAGGAGAAGAGAGGCTACTATCTGCACATAACATTTTCACAGTGGGTTTCAGATTGTAATCCTTGGGCTTGTGGACTCTTTTGATATGTGTTGCTGTCAATTGTGCATGAATAAAATCTACAAGGATTAGTAAAGGCACTGAATTAACTTGAATTGTGGCAGGAATTCTTTGTGCCAATGTGTAAAGGATTTCTAAAGGATGGCAAATATGGAAAGAGCACTTCCTTTTGCAAATTTCAGCACCATCATCTGAATGAATTGTTCAGAATTTGCAGTGGAGGAGGATGGACAAGCAACCCATAAGACATCGTATCCAACTTAAATTGGTCTGTGTATAATTCCATATGTAGTTTGCACTACTTTCATATGGGAAATTGTATGTTTAGAGTGAGGCAGGGAGTAACAACATCATTAGTGTTATATCATGTACATACAGTTGTGTGACATCACAGGCAGAGCAGCAATAGTAGGAAGAGGAATGTTTACAGTGCTGATGATTCTGGCATTGGGTAGATGAACATCCACTACTACACTGTTGGGTTTTTTGTGTTTTGGGGTTTTTTTTTACTCTGACAACAATGAGGCAGAGTAAGGTTAGAATTGGTCCATTTTTTTGGGTGGTAGCAAAATTTCAAGATGAAGGGAAACCTCTAGTGTTAAAATTAGCCATCCTAATCACTGTACCTAATTACAAAGCAGAGAAAAAAATCACTTGTGAGGTTTTTTTAATGTAATAATCAAAAACTGTCATCATACTGCACTGCAGAGTATAGCTGGTTTGTGATTGCAAAACTTTTGTGACTGCATGGGAAAGTAGAGCCTTTTCAAGATCTAAATTGTCTTTACTAATTAAGCAGTGGATCACATTGCTGATCTAAGATTTCTTTATACTTGGCACAAGCTCTACCACTTTTCCAGTAGTAATAGTAGGGGTATTTTGGCTAACTGTGGTTAAATCATCTTCTACTGTGGGAAGCCCAAACCCAACAACTCTCTATAGTTATCAGCTAAGTGAGTAAACGGTGCAAACTTTATTTTACAGCAGCGTTCACAGTGTATCTAATGCTTTCCTGTGTATCTAATAGAATCTTCTTTACTATCAGACTAGGTCTACCTGTTGAGAAGCAAAAAGGCACACAAAAAAAATCAGAAACATGGGGACCATTCATGTCCTCTTCTAATATATTTTACCCTTTTCCAGCTTTTGTCTGTTTCTTCCTTTGTCTTTCCAGTTGGTTCAGTTAAATAGTTATCTATTGACCCTTTCCCTGGTTGACCTGATTAGACCTCTAGCAAACTCTAGTTTTTTTCTCTGTCTGTTTCACAGGAGGTGCTAGCCTTGTGTTACCAATGTTGTGGGGTTATCCTAATCTCACTAGCAAGGTCCCATATTTTTCAAGACCACTGAAGTGTCCCCTGAGTTATTCTGAGCAAGTACAAGATGGTATTTCTTCATTGTGCCCGTTCACATTCATGCAGTAGAAGTAACTGCAGTTGTTTCAATTAGCTTTTATCTCAAGTATTTGAATTGATTAATTGGATTACATCTCAACAAAATTGGCAAGATACAAATGCAGTGCTGGATTTTGGCCAATTATGATTCCAGTGATTTTTCCAGGGTTGCCTGTTCCCAAAGACAAGATTGTAAGATTTATTTATTTATTTATTTATCCATTTTAGATTTTGCACCATCTCTAAGCACTTTACAGTTTTAGAAAAGAAACATATTAACTGCATATTTACAGTGAATACATCTGTGCACCACATGGACTTTGCAGCTGGTCTGGGAACTTAATTAATGCGTCTGGGCCCTTTTGAAGGAATCATGGAAATGAATGTGAAGTTGAGGACTTTGCCTGGGAAATGCCCTATCTTCAACAGCCTGCCTCTTATTTGTATTTGCTGTTGATAGTTTGAATTGCTGCCTACTGGCCTCCATCACCCTTTTTTTGCTTGTGCTTTGAGCTAAATGTAGTCTCATGGTTTGGATCTGGCTAGCACCATTTTGGAGGGGGTATTTCCTTTTGTAACATACAGAAGGGGGAGAGGGCCTCATGGTTACCATTGACTTTTCCTTCTCTCACTGGAATAGTAATACTATAGTAACAGACTTTTTCACAATATGAAACCAAAGTCATAGCATTTACTCAGGTCAGAGCTTACACGCATCTTCAGGAAAAAACAGCTTTTTTGTTATCCTTAGGACTTGACTGAAGCACTGAGCTTAGGCATTCACCACACTGCCAAAGTCTGCCCCAGAGCTGGGAAACCAACTGAGGGGCAATAAGAACCTATCCATTCAACAGCCAGAACAGATTAACGACCCTGTTTCCATTTATTGCATCTGTTGCTGCAGCCGCTACACAGCAGCACCATCTCACCAGTTGGACAGACTGATCAAGTGAAAAAAATTATCTGCATGTTCTATATCCTGTCACATTGCTGACAAGCTCTAGTGATAAATCTGGGACCTCATACTCCTTCCCTTCTGTTCAGTGAAGTGGGGTAGAAGGGGCAAGCCTGTTGCTTGAATCTCCTGATCACAGGACTTGGTGGTCACCTGTCAGATAGGATAAGTGAGATGACAGGAGATAAGGGAGGTGTTATATCCTTAGGAATCTGAGCCTCTGGCAGGTTGATCCACTGCATTCAGGAACATCCATACCCATCCAGCAAAACTTGGGGGTCTATTTCGTTCAGAATATGAAAAAACAAGTATTTCATGATTGACTTGGACTCTCTTTGTCACTAGTGAGACACTCCTTTTCTGAAGTTTCACGCAAGCATTCAGTATAGCTGGAAATCTACCACAATCTCCTACAAGGATTGCATGCTCTTAAGGTTTGAGCAGATTAGGACACATGCCTAAAGTGTCCCTCTTCTCTTGCGCTTTGGTAGCAGTTGTATTGGTTTGTTAGGCCAGTTATTATTGGATGTAATTGGTGTCTCCCCCTGGCCAGGCCAGTGGGACACTGCCCCTGAGTTCAGGGGAGGATTAAGTCAAAGGAACACAATTCCCCAATGAATCCTTGGACCAAGAAAACCAGATATTATTGAAAAATGCTTGGATAAAGCACCCTTCTATCTTCCTGTATTCTTCCAGAACTGGTAGAGAGTAGAGTTCCCTCTGATCCCTCAGAAAGCTCCAGGCAAGTACATAGGTAATCAGGTCTTGCATTCAAAAGCTTATCTAACTTCATCCCACCTCCCTAGTTGGTCCAATAAAAGATACCACCTAAGAAAGCCTTGTTAACTCGTTAACGAAAGAATAGAAAGTAAGTGCCCTTATGTGGGTACCCAGCAATGTAAGTTCTTGACTAAGAAGTATATACTGTAGATAGCTGGAGTTGGGTGTGGATTTGGACACCTCAGTCCTAAAGGAGCTTTTGGGAGAGTGGAACCTCTCTCATATTGTTGTAACAGTTGAACAGCGTGGTAAAGGTATTGAACTGACCTTCAGCTCTTACTGTGAAAGAGAGCAGTGAGGGATTTTTCCAACAAAATTTACATGCAAACATGTTTTCTCCTTGCTGTCACCAGAGAGAAGGTATTTCCGTTTTTACCATCTGCAGTCTCAAGGTTTATAGTACTGGCTGCAGCCGTATGTTCTCCTGTCCTGCTTTCTGTTTCCTCATTGTAAAATGTAGCAAAATGATGAGCAAAATGGAAGTGAAACAGTAATCAAAGAATTAGGGTAGGGGGCCTGTGTGAGAACAGGGTACAAGTTCCTGTGCTCAGCTTAGCTTGGCAGAGACACCCTGCTTTGCCCTTTGTTCCTTCCTGGTGGTTGCAGGCTGCATCAGGAAAGGCAGTTTCAATGGAGCTGCCTTGCTACAGGTCCTCATTAGGGCCTGTCTACAATACAGCTATAGAATGGCCTGAATCTGAGAAGGAAAGAAGGATGTCTGACAAAAAAAAAAAGTCTTATGAAT